CTTTAGTATTCAGCAGCACTCACCTGCTCACTCTCTAACTGCTCCACCAGGGCCTGAAGGCTGAGCTCAGCTGCTCTCTCTCTCTCTCTCTGTGTGTGTGTGTGTGTGTGTGTGTTTCGGTGAAAATGAATGTGAGACTTTATCAATGTGATTGTTTGCAGTATTATGAGCCTTGACTCAGAAACAGCTTTTCTGCCAACAGAAAACTGTAGTAGTATTTACGCTCACATTACCATCACTGCTACAGTGTCATTTACTGTTAGGATCACAGTTGTCTCTGTATCAACTTTTACAGACTGAGTATTTACACTCGCCGATACTGAGTACCATCACGGATGTGTTTTTGGGTTGGGTTTAAATAAATACAGGAAGTCCTCGGTTTACGACATTCTGGATCAACAGCGTTTCGTCCGACGTTCGGCGTTAAAACTCGCCAACCAGTTTGCGCTGGAACTAGCTTGTGAGTGGAAGGGATGCGTCACTAGACGTGGAAGTCTGGATTGTTTCCATTGGATTGTGCTGCATTCACTTTCTTTCATTTGTGTTGGTTTTTTTTGGGAACATCTCGCCCTTCCTTATGTCTCCCAGGTGTAAGCCTGACTCTGTCTTCATCTCCCAGATTATGATGTCACCACTGTGTTAGTGTAGAGGAGTGATGTCGTACAGGAGGTGAGTTCAGGCTCTCCCTCTGTACTCAGTCAACTGGAAGGCGGTGTTGTGCAGAGCTCTGTGGGTGAGAGCGTGTCGTGCGGTGTGTAGGTGCGAGCTCAACCCAAACCACAGTCATGACGCCGAGCAGGAACACACTCACAGCCACATTTAGTCTCATTAGCAGTAGGCAGTAATTCCAGCCAAACTAATTTGTTCTTCAAACTGACACTGTCGTCACATTAGATATTATATCGATAAAAAACAAGGATAAAATAAATTCAAATAATGACACTTAGTCTTTTTACATTGTTTCCTGATGAACAGAAAGTGAGCAGAGCTTTTACACCAATATTGTGCTTCAATAGGAAACAGTGACCCCTGCTGTGTAGTAAACACAGTGTCACTTAATCTCAGCAAAATAATGACTTGGTGAATTGTATGAACCTGAGCTACAGTATCAACTGTGCTGTTACACTGAGTGCAGACATCAGCGCAGTAAGCACTAAAAAGCTGGTCTTCAGGTGTTTTATGAATTTGCTGGTATCGTAGCAGACATTTAACTCCAGTGGGACAACATCAGCAGTCCCACTCCTGACCAGTGGGCTAGTGGTTGTAGTAAAAACCCTGTACAAACTCTGGGGTCACTGGATCTGAAACATTTTCCAGTGGAAGTTTGAAGGACGTCTATAGTTTGGATATTTGTGACACAGACACAAACATCAAACATGAGTTTCATGTTTTCCCCTCTGACCAAACGGGGCGGCCCAACAACTCATCCACCTCACCTCTGTCTTCCCCTGCTGGCTGTGTACAGTACGTGCAGCACAGAGCTCCACTCACGTTGAACATGTTGGTGAGCTGAAAGTGTTTGAAGATAATCGTCCATGTTTAAATGGCACCTCATTTACATAAACACTGAGCAGCTCCCTCACACAATCAATGAAAACATGAGGGTGCAAACGCAGAGTCACAGCCGTACACACACATGCCCACATTAACCCACACACACTCCTATACACACTGTTACATTTGCTCTCACTTTGACACCGTGCTGCAGCGCCAAGGAGTCATCTGTTTTCTGCAACGGCTGTAAAATATACATCAAAGCAGTCATCAGTGGAGGAGCCGACGGGTGTGTGTGTTCGTGCACGGACACATGCAGTACTGCCCATGTGTGCACACACACACACACAGGAGGTTTTCTGTGAGGAGTATTGAGGAGAACAGGGGAATGGATTGTTCAGAGACAGAGAAAGAAATTAAAGGTGCATCACTTTGATCCTGTCTGACATGAGCAATGTATCAGAGCTGCATCTGTCCTCTCTACTAACACCTCTGGACGGCCCTCGTCCCTCCGTGTCCTCCTCTTCGCTCACGCTGGAAGCCTTGCCGATAATTAGAGTTTGAGGGATGATATAATAGTGATGATTTAGCACTAACGCGTATCAGAGCCAACGTTACGAGGCGTCCGAGAGGCCTATCACAATAGGTAATTAGTGATGATAAAGTACTAATGAGCAAAATCCTTATCTAGATATACATCAGCCCTCCGCGGGGAAGCTAAGTACACAGCCAAAAGAGCGGTATTAGGGAGAACATTAAAGGATTTGTTGCGGAGGAAGAACGAGCTGTAGAGACCTTTTCTTAATGTTTCCACGTTCAAAGTGAAAATGCAAAAAAGAAAAGTTAAATAGAACAAACACTGTTTGTTAAATCATTTGTATTCCACTGATGTGGACTAAATGGGAGACAGACTGCAAAAAAATGTTTGCAGCCTGCTGTGTCCTTTGGAACAGGAGGGACAGGAGTGAAAGCTGCGGCCCGGCGTGCCCCAAATGAAGTGTGCTAAACTCAATAAGTCCTTCCTGAAGGACTGTGTTTTACCTGCGCACGAAAAGGTCGCTTGAGTTGCATTGCCAAAAGTTCAGCCTGTCCATCATACTTACAGGCTTATAAATTGGCTCATGTCTAAACTAATATGGATAAATGTGAAATCCCACTTTCTCAGGCCGCTGCTCGCACTCTCAGCCAACATTGGTTTGCATCATTTCGACCCCGGAGAAAAAAGGATGGGATTATTTTTTTTCTACTGTGGTCGACACAAAGTCTGAAGAGAGAAGGGAGAGAAACATTTTTTTTGTTTTTTTTTTGGGGGACTTTTTTTTTTCTTGCTGCTGTTGGTGTAGAGGTCAGCTAATGTTGAAGCTGTACAACTCTAAAACTGGATTGGTTTCAAGCTGTCAACCACGTGAAGTCAATATTCCCTTTAGAGGAAAAAAAAAAACTGCAGCCTTCTGTATGATGTATGCTTTCATTTTTTTTATGGGCTTGATCGCCAACAAATAAAGCCCTGGACCTATTAACTCAGAATGATTTGAACAAAGACGTGTGAAAAAGTTTATCAGTCAAACTGAGGGTAACTATTTTCATTTTGGATTCATCGCCTTTGTAATAAATAATTCAATGACTTCAAGGTCAGCAGAGACGTTATACTTTGAGAGACTGGAATCAGCAGCGTGTGGAAATAATTTTCCAGCTCAAGATTTCAGGTAAACAAAATCAGTCCACGGTTTGGTGTTTCAGGAGTTTCGGAGGTTGTGATTCAAAAGGTGGAAAGTTCAAGTTAGCTGCTGGACCGGACCTTTCACTGTGGTTTGGTTCTGTTCTTCTTTGGATTCTGGTGGTTGCTTCCTAGTAGAGAACAACGTTCTTTTGTATCTGATCTTGCTTATTTTTATTTTTATTTTTTGTCAAGTACAAGTTGATATCCTGCATCCCCAGAATGTTTGGACGGTCTACCTCCAGTATTAGGTCGTTGTAAACTATGGGAGTATTTTTTTTTTAATTGATGAGTGTAGTATGACCTGAAAAATGTAACATGATGTCATTGTGTACAGATGTCCTCTAGTGTCCACTACTGTGTGTTGAAAACACATTGGTATCCTCAGTGAATTAATGACAGGTCATTGTCTTCAGTCTATAATTACAGTCATTTGCTGTGTGGGCTTTTAGTGCTGCCAAAAATATCAATACATTATTCAGTGTTCTGTAAATAGCTGTAATGATTCACACAGAGGTTGTGACAGATGATTTGCATGATCACGTCCGTACTGTAGCCTAGATTTGTATGCGCTAGCTCTACTAAGATATTACTACGTCGTGCGTACTGTACGTACCACCCTGGGTTCAAATACTGGGTTTAAAACTGCAGGCTAATCTTGGTGGATGTTTGCAGCATCTCTGGCATTTTTGACTGCGTCTGCATTCGCTTATTCCCATCACATAGAGGGCATGGGCCGAACATGACAGACTGGTAATGACTCGTGTGTGTGTCTCGTACTCAGGCACACACACTCTCACACACTCTCTCACACACAGCTGCTCCTTCCCTCCTTTCTCATCAAACTTGTCATCAGCTCTGCCAGTTTGTCTCGTCTCACATTAAGAGCTCATGAATAATGTGTCATTACCACAGACTCTGTGAGCAGCCAGCGAATATATGAGACACGCGCTCTCGTCGTAAAACAAGTCGCAGAAAATAAGGCACATATTCAAATGTACTGTAAGTTTGTGTACTCGTCTGAACGCCACAAGGACGACGGCTGCTAAACAGACTGGAGTTCAGGAGGAGCGCAGACAAAAGGAAAAGGTCAGACAGTGGCACTCAGGTCAGGTCACACTAACACACAGAGCTGACAAACACTCCCCAGGTAATTGTTTACTATTTTGAAGGATCTCCTTCTCGAAGCACTAATTCAATGTGATTCTTCTGATTTCCACACGGCCTCAGGATAAAAGCAGCAGAGAGCTTCATGCTACAACACCTGCTTTTTCTCTGTTTACAAAATGTTACATTCAATGGCACTTGGCAAAAAGGAAATCTTTTGTGTTTCAAGACTAGAGGAGGTTTTCATCTTTTTTTTTACAGTGACCACTTACAACCTTTAATTTTTTTCTGATTTCCCTGAATTGACAGAGCCTGTCTAATACCTGTTTTCTTCTGCCTGGTAGCAGAGATATCATTAAATTTTAGTTTAGTTTCACCAGCTCATTTACTGCTGCCCTTTGTTCTTGATGTCTTGTTGTTGTTGTTGTTTGTTTTGCTGTGGATTTTTGCCTGGAGCAATGGTAGAAAAAAAAAATCTAAAATTTCCATATTCTCACAACGCGTATAAAAAAACAAAACAAAAGTCTGAATATTTAGATTTTAAAACTTTCACCAAGAACCTGGGACACAGACAAACAGACAGACAAACAGTCAGGCAGACAGTCAGACAGACAAACAGTCAGACAGACAAACAGTCAGACAAACAGTCAGACAAACAGACAGACAGAGACAGTTGTCTTACCGGTGAATCACTGGTTGCACTCGGACACAGCGGTCCTCTGAAAACCCCCTTGACTCGCCGGAAGTGTCCATTGCTCAGGTGCGTGGAGCTGATGACCAGGTAGTAACACGCACTGCATGCCATCCCGGGAGCTTCACGGGGTTTGGGACCCATTAAGTAGCCAATAGTGTCACCGTCCCAGCACTTGGAGCGACGGTTCTCGCAGTCGACGCCGAATTACAGTAATTGCACCGATGCCGCGGCCGCCGCGGGTGGGAGCGCAGCCGGAGCAGCCAGTCCAGCCAAGTCAGTCCCGTCCTCCTTCAGGGAGCGTCTGCCTGTGTGTTCAAACAGCGAGCAGATGAGAAGAGAACTGTGGGATGTCCTGCTGTGTGGGAGACACTCAGGACGGTCCACAGTGAGATTAGGCTGAAGAGACAGATGCGGAGAAAAAACAGAGTCTTGGAGGTTGGACAGACGGGACGAGAGAGAGAGAGGGAGTCTGGAGTCAGACTGAAGAAAACAAGACCACCAGACTGGACACAGGACACAGGCTGGAGAGACAGACCCGGGTCTCAGTTCAGTGGAAGACTCAAAGACATACTCAGACGGGGTTAAAGAGACATGAGGAGAGACAAACTAGGGGACAGAGAGGTTGTACTCACCGAGGTCTGTCGCTGATTGGCATGCTGTCGTCGGTCGGGCTGAAATAAATGAATGAGCGCCTGCATAGTGCCGGGAAAAGAGACATCGACCCCCTCCCCTCTCTCTCTCTCTCCCCCTCTCTCTCTGTCACTTGCTTCCCCTCCTCTTTTTCCTCCTTTCCCCCGGAACACTGGTGAAGTCTGAGGAGCAAATACTGAGAAGCAGGAGCAACAGCAGTCCAACCAACTGCTCTCTCTCTCTCTCTCCCTCTCTCCCTCCCTGTCCCTCCCCCTCTCCCCTGCTCCCCCTCAGTCAAATGAGGACCAGACTCTCCTGCACCTCCTCTTCACCAAACAAAGCAGAAATATTGAAATAAATGAAAAGTAAAATGGAAAAACGGGAAAACTTCGTGCACCGTTTCTCCGTCGAATCTTTTGTTTTATGAAATGCATTTAAAAAGATGAGAGCGCCGTCCAGCTCCGGCACAGTGCTGCCTGAGGACTTCCACTGCACGTTCTCTCTGAAACGCTCGTGTACTTGAGTGTCAGCGGATCCACAGATGTCCTGAGACCCGGCTGTTTCTTTTACAGTAACTCCGGTCTGGACTGAAGCGCGCCACCACCAGCATCCAGTTTCAATTCAAGTACCCCACCCCTACCCCCCACTCCCCACCTGTGTGGCTGTGTTGTTAACTGCAAAGCCCCAGAGTGGAGGAGAGGAAATAAACTTTGTCATCAAGCTGCGGCTCACTGAGTAGAACATCATGTTTGTGTCAGCCCCTGTCTCCGCCCCTCTTCCTCATCAGCCGCTGAACTAAAAGAGCGCGCTTTATTTGGGTCTCGGTGTCAAGGACTACTACCCCCCCTATTTGACTACAGATAAAGGGGGTCTTTCTCCAGCTCGGTCCGTCAGAACTGGCCCGGCTCCGTCAGAGCACGGCTCGGCTCCAGCTGCAGCTCACTCTCACTCTGTCTCTGCGGCGTATGGAGCTGTCCACGACCGTGGTGCTGAAACTATTAAATTGTGAGCACCCACAGCAACTGAGTCGCGCGTCATGAATATTCAGCTCCAGATTAGGGTGCCTTCTGTGCACGGCGTCACACTGGATGCCACAGACGACCAGAGGAGAAGAAGCAGAACAAGAAGAACATTTTTAAAATAACACTTTATAAAACAGTTGGTTTGAAACACACAGTTATATAATCGAGAACTAATCAACCAATTAATGAAGGAACTGTGCTGTAGAAGAAGAAGAGGAAGAAGAGGTGCACACAAAGAAGGACACAGAAGGACGAATCAGTGCGTGGGACAGAAGACCCATTCCATTCTTTCTGTGCTTTCCCTTGATACATGAAGCCACAAAGGGAAACTCATCCTTCACATTCCCACAGCTCCAGTACAAGGCCTTTATGAAAATGCTAGCCTCTTACAGACTATTGACTCCTCAACAACCCTATGATATCGTAGCAGTAGATTAAAAATGAAGCGTGTTCTACTGGTGAATACATCAAAATAAGAAGTGTGCTGACGTTGTTTTTGGTTTCTGAAGTCAAACCTTCTTCAAGAACATTCAAATGACTTCTTTAACAAACAAACCTTTTCTGCCCGCCTCCTTATCACCGAGGCAGGTGAACTCATTACCAGTTAAGTCCAAACCAAGGCTGATTCCCGCTGTAGCTTTTGTCCAAACATTGCCAGAAACATCTTACTATTTGCTAAGCTGTTAGCTTCACTCAGTCTTCACTTCAGACTTTTTCTCACTGACTTCCTTTTGTCCAGTCTCTGAAGGCCTGGTTCCTGACTTCCTTTCACACCAGGGCTTTTTGTACTTGTTTACATCAGCATGTATTTATACCACCGTGCTATTATTGGAAAGTAAAGTGGGTCCGTGGTTTCGATGTGTTTATGTTTGCAAGAACGTGATAGTGCTGCTTCAAACTGCATGGGTTCCTACATTAGAGGTTTGGTCCCGAGGGATGCACAGTGGACCCAGGATGGATGAGGAATGACTCATACAGTGGGTCCGTTAATGAGGGTCTCTCAGACTCCCACGCACAAGTTTTGCTGTTTGTGGTGCTGAAGGGAAATGTCGGTGCTAATTGTGTCAACAAAAAAAAAAAAATTATAACGCTAAAATACTATGTTTTTAATTAAAATTTTATGCAACAACACAGTCTTAAGAAAAGTTGTCAGACCAAAATTAAAATACAATAACACTAAAATCTCAATTATGGTGATGCACTTGATCTTTTATTTTTATTGTCCAACAGAAGAAGGCGATAAAGTGTTTTAACTGGCCAACTTTATGGACTCATCATTTCCTCTTCTACTGCTTCTCCTGCCTGGAAATGAAGCCCATTCCAGATGAAAGTTCATCAGACTGTTTCTGGGTCACATTTATAGAAAGAACCTTATGTTTATGACCAATAGACAGAGACTTATCAGCACTGAAGAACACTGGATTAGCTGGAATATTTTTTATCCATTCTTGTCAGGCATTTTTAGAAGAAAACAGACCTGGAGCGGAGACAGAGAAGTCAGGACAAAGCCTGGAATTCTGCTCTGAAAACAACAGAATTCCTGGGTAAAAACAAAAGTGCGTCATCAGTACCTTCACAGGCCACACGGGCCAATCCATGTTCCAGGCTGTGAATGTGATCAATAGGTGTTTTCTGTGGAAAGAAATATTGATCTTATCTGTGAACATGAACCCTTTTATTAAACATTTGGTCCACATCAGTTTAACTGAGAACTTGGTACCATTTTTTCACAAAAGGTACTGTATGCATTGCATTCTTTTTGGCTTGAAAATCATTTTTGATGATTTCATAGACGTTTGATTCTGAAAGGTAACAATGATCCTCGTCGGCTCAGAAGCTCTATCTGTCTTAAATCTTTAAGGACCGAGATTTCTCTGTCGTCTGTGAATCTTTTCAAAGTCAAACCTTTATATAGTGACAGATCTAAATTCATTGCTGTGGAAACGCTGTTGTGAAATGACAGACTTACATTTTACACAAAGTATTGAGAGAATTCCCATCATTTGCTTTTGATTGATGCTCCTTTTATACTCAGACATTTTTCAACCTCAGTCTGCACCGCCGCCATCTTTTGGAGAGTCTGTGCATTTTTTAAATTTTGTTACATGATTAAAAACAAAATCATTATTTTGATTGACTCATTTACCTTTAAAATAATTTAAATATTTGCATTTTAGGAAGAGTAGGAACTTTTCTGGAAGCAAGTTTAAAAAAAAATTTTTTTCCCCCTGACTACGGCATCTGTTTGCTCTTGCACAGGTATTACACTTTTATTCCACCCATGGCTGCTCCCGTTTCTCCGGTGATTTGCCTCGCACTCAGCTCTTTTGTCAGTTTACAAAAACCCTAAGGTCAAACATTGGGAGAGAGAGAGAGAGAGTGTGTGTGTGTGTGTGTGTGTGTGTGTGTCTGTGTGTGTTACTGTTTAAACTCATTGATGTTGATCTTTCCCCCTGTCAGCGTTATTAGTTGGCTTCCTGCTGGTCTGTAGTCTAAACTCTTGCATCACTCCACTGCTGCACTGTCCTCCTGCAGCCACAGCTCCAAACTTCTGCAGCTCAAAACTCCCCAATGACAGTGAAGAAAATCAGAGCAGAGACCAACAGAACTAAACCCGAATGCTCATCTGTGTGTGCCGTACAAGTTGGACGTCCTCTGTGTGCAGTCTGTCGGTGATGGGAACACAGTCTTCCCTCTACCATTTAATGGTCTGGGAATATAGATCCCTGGAAGAGGAAAAGGCAAACCAATTTCATGCAGCAAATTACCTTCATATCATCTACTGACAAAGGCCTTGGTTAATGTCTCACACACTTAAGTACTACAAGGAAATATTTTTTCTGTGGCCTAGAGTGCCACTGAGAGCAGTGATGATAAATAATGACAACCATGGCACAAACACTTCAACAAACAATTATATCCTGTGTGTTTGCTGCTGTTGTTTTTATAATGTCAGAAATTAGAGAACATTGTTGCGTATCAAAAATGAATGGGTGGGGTTCTGGAAGTATTTGCACTGATCCGCCACAAGAGGAAACCCGTTGTGTGTATTTTAAACAGTCTAATTCCCTAAAGTACTTCCCATTTCCACTGCTCCCTCCATGCTCCTGGTGCACTCATTACTGCTGGAAATGATGCAGTAATACTGAGAGGAGGGGGCTGAGTGGCGGGAGAGTCACAGCAAGGAAGACAGATGGAAAGATGGGGGAGAGAGAGAGAGAAAGAGAGAGAGAGAGAGACGGGGGTGGGGGGGAGGAGGGGAGATATTACAAAATCTGGGTGGTTTCTGTTTTGCCCAGTTGCTGCCCGCGGCTCTTTCTCTCTTTTCTTATAAACCTTTGAAATATTACACTTTGGTTTGGCCTCATATTGCTGTCTTTTATGCACAGTCTATGAGATTGCTTATGAATGTGTTATGACGCTGAATTTGGTATATGTTTGTGTGTGTGTGTGTGTGTGTGTGTAAAGAATAGCTACCATATTATTTCTGCATATGAGACAGTAGTGTGGTGCTTTCACAGTCTCACCCTGGAATTACTGAGGAAAATATGTGTGTGTGTGTGTGTGTGTGTGCATCTGTTTGTGTAAGCAAATAAATATCTGTACAAAATGATTTTTTTTTTTACCAGTGAAATAAACCTGGCTTTGGAACCACAGAGAGGGTAATAAAGATTGCACGGTTCAAGGTAAAAAAAAAAAAGTGGCTCCTTTTTCAAAACAGCATTCAATTTATGAACACAGCAAATCCGACCCATTACTTGACCCCACAAGTGGGTCCGGGGCGTGGACGCGTCTCTATGCAATGAAATTACGACTCACCACCGATACATGCAGTGGCCACGTGGTCAACGGGGAGATTTATCACTGATTGTGTCTCTGTGAGCATGAGTGCACCTGCACAGTTACACACTCATGTCCTCATCCATGGGCAGTATGTGTGTGTGTGTGTGTGTGTGTGTGTGTGAGAGAGAGACCCTGCGTACGCTGGTGCTGCACTGTAGATAGCAAAGACATATTCTATAATCTAAATGTAAATGGAAGAGAAATTTACCGGTGGGTTCTATGTAATTACCAGTGCCACAATTTATTAGAGCGGTGTTTGTCTACGGTGGAGGACCAGGAAGACAGAATTTAAAGGGACAAAAAGGGGACAGCCGGAGAACCAGAGAGGCAGAAAGTGTGTGTGTGAGAGAGAGGGAGAGAGAGAGAGAGAGATGGAGAAGAAATGGTGAGTGGGACAGTTGTTATATTAAAGGAGTTATTTATGGTCCAGAGCACAGGTTTGGTTTGTAAATAGAAGACAAAAGTCGTCCAATCACATGTTCTCAGATTTGAACACTGCAGCGGAGGTGCAGGTTATAAAATATGGGACGAGGTCCACATTTGCACCTGTCAGAGCTGACAGTCTGACTTTGACTCGATCTCCTGCGCAGTGGTCAATTAGTCACTCTCCACTAAAGTGATCTGAAGTGTCTCTGATAAACGGGCAGTGTTCCTCTGTCCCGGTGTGAACCCG